AGCCCCAGCGGGGCACACCTGGGAGCAGCAGAAAGGCCCCCACCCAGCCAGGTGCAGCTCAGGACAACAGGATCCAGCTGGGACCATCCCTCCCTCTCGGACGTGGAGGGTGATTTCCCTAGACCTGCACCTGGGAATTGCCTTGGAGCAATTTGTCCCACATCCCTCTGTCTTCCTTGTTTGGGTTGGCATCAGCCACTGCAACCTCGGTGGCCAGCTGACCACAAGCTGTCTGCTTCTGTCTCTTGTACCTCTGCCCGTGTCCTTCTCGCTATATGAGATGGAGCCAATTTTGGCCACCAACGTGGCGAGGGCTCAGCCAGGCTCCCACAAGTGTTTCTCCCCGGTCTCTCCCCACATCATCGACATCAGCAATTCTCCAAAACCCAGGTCCTGGAGCACCACTTGAGGTGGCACGTTCAGAAATGGAGAGGACTTTAACTGCAAAATCCACCTGGGCTCTGGCCCGTGTGCGTTGGCAATCTGGCCGTGCTGGATTTCATGGATATCTGCACTGGGTAATTGTATATTGGGTAATGAAGGCATCATATCTGGCTTATTTGCATAGAAAGCAGAGGTACAAAAGCCGATCTTCCCATAATAGCAGCTGATAAGTGAATGGCAGGCATAATCAAGAGATTAATTGGCCCTTGTGTGTTAATTATGCTAATTGGCACAGCTGCTCATGTGTACAGTACGATGACTAATGGCTCTGCATTGCTGAGCTGGTTGAAGAGGTTGGGGGGTCACTCAAAGCTCCTTGCTGCAGTGGCAGAGCCTGGTTAGTGGGGTCCCCTTGACATGAGGGTGATGCCCTGTGTTCACTCGTTCTTCAATCGTGAGACTGAACAAGCCAGGAGAGGTTTTTTAGCCTGAGTGGTTGTATTTGTGGTGCGTTTCTAATGGTGCTTTGCATGGGTGTCCAGCAAAATGGGGTTTATTGGCTGAAGCATCTTCCTCCTGGTCTGCTAGGATCTGTGGGATGGGTTTGGGGTGGGACGACCCACACCATTTGCTTGTAAGGGAGATGTCCGTGATGAGTTGGATGAGCAAAGCTCCCACCAAGACCATGGGGGTGTACCCAAATTCCTGGTGGGATCCCCTTCCCTTGCTGGTCCACACATGAGGCATTGGCTGTTGTCTCCTGAAAGTGTGAATAATGCCACACACATGCCATCCTTTTGTGGGATGTTCTCCATGTTCCAGCCTTGCCCCTGATATTTTTATGAGTGATGAATAAATGATACAACAAGAAAATCCTCTCTGCTGGATCAAGCCCTCTTTATTAATTCAGCAAGCAGTGGATCATCTCCAAACCCAGCTCATCCCCCACACGAGGTCAGTGTTTCCTACCCTGCAGAGACACACAAGCTGGGTTTGCCCCAGGGGTCTCCTGCAGCCAAAGGCATTCAGGAAGAGGGTGAGATGATGCTCATGCTGTCCACAGCCCCCCCCACCCAGCCTGGCAGCAGGACATGGCACTGAAGATCCAGGGATCAATTCACCCAACCTGCAGACCATCTCCATGAGGAACCAGGTCAACTTGGATGGGTGCATAAACCCCATGCACCTTTGCTCCTGCTCCAAAGGGAGAGATGCAGCTGCAAGGAACTAAAGGAATTAATGCCTCAAACATTCGACACAGAAAACTTTGTGATTAGTCTGAGGAATGCTGCCCAAGGAAGCACAGAGTGTATCAAAGGATTCATGGCTTCGCTCCCTTGCAGTTGTATTGCCAGACTCCTCAGATAAGCCTCAAAGGAGGGAAACGTGGACTGAGTGAAACCGTATGTTCAGGTTAAGGACTGATAAGAGAGATAAATAACCAGCACCAGATGGATCTAAGCAAAAACTGAGGAAAAAATAAGAGTGGAGGGGCGAGCATGACCACCAACTCAGATGGACAAGGGGTTGGTGTACCCTCATTCCCTCTCAATGTACATGCAGAACCCATGCTCCAGCTTTTCCTCCTCTCTCATAGAAATGAGTTTGTGCGATACCTGCCTCTCTCTGTCTAGTATGCAAATCAGCTGATAAAGATGTACTTAAAAGGCGACAGAAAACTTTGCTATGGGTGCAGCCACCACCCAAGATTTCTGGACTGAGACAGTGCTGGAACCTGGGGTGATGACCAGACTCTTTCCTTCTCCTGTTGTTTTCTTTTCTTTCTTTTTTTTTCTTATATATTTATCAATAAGAGACCCCATTGCTTACTATCCTTTTCCAAGTTTAAGTTGTTTCTAACACAAATAAAATATTTTAACCGGTCATTTGGTGTCGTTTCACCTTAATTTAACCCGAGGGGATCACAGAACCTTTATGACTCCCTGGGCTCCCAGTCCAGGTCGTAACAGCAGCTCACCTAGAAACCCCCAGGAGCCACGTACAGCCCGAGCCTCATGTCTCACCCTAACACAGCCTGAAGTTTCTTTGCTCAAAGGTGTGTTTCCCACACCTTGCCATAGCTCCAACCAACGGTTGGCAGGTCGAAGCACCAAGAGCAGGATGGTGGGGAACGAATTCAAGTGTCTGGGATGAAACAGGGATGGGAGATTCACTGGCCTTAAAAGCCTGAAGCTGTTGGGTGAGGAACAGCTTTTATTCCCATTTGGATGCAAAAAGAGATCAATAGGCAGTTAAAAAAAAACCCAAAACTCATTCACCACCTCCCAGCTCTTGAGCCACAGCGAGTGCCACATCCATCACTGTAATCTGTATTTAATAGCTCTGAAGGAATACCCCTTTCTGTCTGCAAAGTCCTCCAACTATAGATTTCCTCTGGGAATGAAGAACCCTGGGGGACATCTCCTTTTTGCCGCAGCGGTCTGTGCTTCCCTGAGCTACCAGGAGCTCAGGGTCTTTACTGAGCCCGTGCTAGAAGGGGAAGGCCAACAGTTGCATACGCCTCACCCATGCTCCTTGGAAAGCCTTTGCTTGAGCAGGACAAGTCCCACGGTGGAAGTCTTTGATCCATGCTGTAGGAAGCAATATCACATCCTCCCTTTGGGCTGGGTCTCCTCCTGAATTTTTCATTTTTATACACAACTTCACCACCCAAGACAAGAAAAATAATTTCTCTGTCGGGCATGGAAAAGAACTGCACTGTCAGCGCTTTTTCTCTAAATGGCTCATCCGAAGGCATCCATTTATTTACCAGCGTGCTTTTTCACTGGAGTGTTAAATACTGTATTAATAGGGGAATTGAATACTTCTCTGGCAATATTTAAGCAACGCCTCCTTACCTGAGACAGCACATGTTTCTCTAAGGCTCATTAAGCAACACCAACTTCTCTTCACTGGTCCCGGAGACGATGATGCTATCACCGAGCCTGCAGCGCAGCGGCTCAGATCCCACTTGCGAAAGCATTGCTGGCGGGCTTTCTCTCACCTACTGTGAGTAACGATCATAAAATGACATTGAAATGCCACCCGATCATAAAACGACGTTGAAACGTCACCCCAATTCCCTCGCTCCCATGCCATGCTTCAGCTGAGTGTCCCAAAGAGAAACAAACTCTGCCTGACTAACGCAGGAAAAGAGGGGAATTGGAGTTTGAAAATGATATCGCTCATTAATTTCCCTGGCTGGAGACAACTTCTTAGTGCCAGGTAGGGTTTTTTTAAGCAACATCACTGTTTCGTTTCAAATCTCTCTTAAATGACTTCTGAGTCACGGCGATAAACACTCCCCGCGCTTTCTTTCTGCTTCAGATACCTTATAACTGCTGATGGATAAATTGCTCAAGTTACCGAGGATAAATCACGCAGGATAGCCAAATCTGTAATTAAAATGTCTCTCAACCCCTCCATTAACTCTGACTTAGCAGGACCAGATGCATTGCGGCTGCAGGGAATAACTGGCTTGGGATTCGGCTCCGGAAAATGGGTCCTGGGAGGGAGAAACTGGCTCTGACAGTGCCGACCCACACAGTTTACTTGGGAATACCACGGTGCTCTTCATCCCCCATCAAAAAGATCTGGGTACCAGGATCAATGGTGCAAGTTTTTCAAGGTCTTTTTTTTGCCAAAAAAAGGAGCTTCTGATCGTGCCAGCACTTTGCACTGGCTCCAATTTGCCCATAGAAAGCAAATTCCCCGAGCAGAGCTGGCACGGAGCTGGGTGGTTTCTCCATCCCAGTTGCTGCAAAAGGGAAATAAAATAAAAACTGGTTGTTCACAACAAATTCTGGATTTTTAGACAGATTTAAATCTTTTTTGGATGGTGCTTCCCAGGAAAAACTATGAGCAGAAGTAGAAAGAGATTTTTAAAATTCCCCCTCCCTAAGACAAGCTGCCTCCAGGCTCACAGCCCTGGCCTCAAGCCTTTGCTCCTTGCTTTCATCAGCTGAGCAGCAGGAAGATCCAGCCCTAGGGCTGTTTCTGGGCTCTGCTTTCCACAGGAAAGTCAGATATTAAGTTTGCAGCAGCCTTAAAATCAGAAAGCAGCTCAGCCAGGTTGCTCTGAGCTTTCCAGCTGAATTTGGGTCTGGCCTCCTGGCAATTTTGAGGCCAAGAGTTGGGTATTTGGGGACAGTGTAGGAGCCGGATCCTGCTCATCCTGTTGAAAGGCACATCACCCATGCAACAAGCCCATGTAGAAAACGGTGCTTCTTGCAAATCTTTCATCTCAGGAAAACGACACTGACCCACATGGCAGGGCAGGGGCACCCAGGGGTGCAGGGCAACTCTTGGGTCTGACCCACCTTACAGGGGTTCTAGAGCATCCCCAGTGCCTGCCAGGACACGGCCCCATCCGTGAACCAGGGCAGGACAATGGGACAACAGGGACAGGCAGCAACACTACCCCAGCACTGCAGGGGCATCATCCCACCCCACCCCACCCCATCCCATCCTCCATCCCATCCTCCACCCCATCCCATCCTCCACCCCATCCCATCCTCCACCCCATCCCATCCTCCATCCCATGCAGTCCTCAGGGGGGGAGGCAGCAACAAGGTTCAGCACTTCCATCCTCCTCGCCCTCCAGAATTAAGTCAATAGAAGAAGCAGGAGCCCTTTATTTATTATTGATGAGGAGAATCAAGTTGCCATCGATCGGCACCGGGGAGAGACTCTTCCCGGCGCTTTCTGAAATGACCTGCCAAATGTGATTTTTTTATTGTGTTTTTTTTTTTTTTTTTCCCATTGAGGGTGTTTGGATGAACTCGCAGCCTCGCCTGCTCCCAGGAGGGATGAGAGCAAACATGAGCAAGCTCCAGCAGCTGAGCTGCTGCCAGCTCTCAGTGCCGGGTCCTTCACACTCTGCATCCCTGTTAAATCCCACTTTCCTGGCTGCCAGGCTCACCGTTACGCAGGAGCAGGTGGAAAAGGATGTTGGGGCTTTTGGAGAGGGGAAGAAGCCCTGCAGAACCATGGCATCACAGCCAACCAGCCTCATCCCTGCCTGAGTCTCATCCAGAGCACCCATAAATCAGCATGTTGGATTTAAAAGAGACCTTGAAGGGGAGGATGGATGGCTTCCTCCCCCAAAACAACCTATCACCTGGACAGCCTCAAAAGCAGGATGGCACTTGGGGACAAGGGGGACAAGTAAACTCCTCCCTGGGGTGCTTTATCTCATGCCAAAGCACAGCACATCCTCCCCAGGACAGCGGTGAGTGGCTCAGCCCTGAGCAGCTCACAGTTCGGGATGGCTCATCAGCCTGAGACATCTGAGTATCATTTTCCCTGGTCTGCCACAGCTTAATTATGAGTTTCTCCCTTGCTACCCTAAAGATCTCCCTTCCCTGCACGGCCTAGGCTCCACTTTGCCAAAAATATCCCTCAAATCTGCCCAAAGAAACGTCCCAGAAAGCTCCCAGCTAGAGGAGACGGTCCCAGGGATGCTGGCACCATCTTAGGACCTTTAAAGATGTCCTGGGCATGGGGACAACTCATCCTGCTGCCTGCCAAGGAGCTAGGGGTAGTTAATGGCTTCATTCCCCCAGCCCAGCGCCAGGGTGCTAAATAATATTAATGGTACCTCCTGGCACCTCGTTAAAAATTGCGCCAGCGCTTAATTCAGGCTGTAGATCAAAGCCTCTAAATGAAACCACCATCCATCCCCTCCCTAATCTGAGTTTGATACCAGCACCCTTTCCCTTTGCTCTCTTTCAGAAATATTTTTCTATTGAAACGCAGAGCCTGACTTCATGCCTGGGGAAGGACAGCTAAAAATAATCCTCTGTGGGTGATTTAGGAAGGTCCCTTCCCCAGCAGCCCCCATCAGACCCTGCTCACATCCCATTGATGGGATTAACCAGCCTGAATTTCAGAGCCATCTCAGATGGATGACAATGTCCCTTCGGGATTTTGCTCTTCGTTCTGCTGCTTGAGGTACTAAAATACAGAGGAGGGATGAGGGCAGGCATCTCTCCATCACTGGAGTGGTTTTCTCCCCATGCTGGGTGATGGATGAGGGCAGCACACTGCAAGGTGCCACAGTAGCAACAGGGGACCAAGGGAGAGACAGGGCTGGGCTGAAAGGGGAACATAAAGATTTCACTCTGGGAATTCCAACATTTAAACTATTTGCAGCCAAAGCTGCATCCCAGAGACTATGCCAAGCCTCAAGAGCATTGTCCAAAATGACCCCCGAATTTATTTGTCAAGGCACAAAAATCCCCTTCAGGTTCTGGATTTTAAATAGTGACAAAAACCAGAAGAGCCAGAGAGGCACAGTGGGGATTTCTTCACCCACCGGAGCAGGACCAGGAACTCACCACCCCGTTCACCCCAGCAGCTTGGGTGCCCCCACACACCCTGCAGGTACCCAGCAGTGGAGGGAGGACCCCCAGGACACACACAGGGGCAAAGACCCCTGATCCCATGAGAAACAGGAGGGCTCAGCCTCACGCACCAGCCAGGCTTGTCCCCACCACTGCTTTAGCCCCCAAAGCATTGGCTTTGTCACCACAGGGAGGACGGGGGGGGCTTCACCTGGCCTGCAGGTCCCCCCCAAGCCCTGCCTTTTGACCTCCCGCCTCAAAACATCCCCCAGGTTAATTCAAGGCAGGGGATAACTGCCCCGATGGGATTTTTGCATTTAAGGCAAAAATAAAAGTCCAGTGGGAACCACAGTGGTGCAACGTGAAAAAAATAATTGTCCCCAGAGCGGTGCATCCATCAGGGCCAGGAGCATCAGCCCCGGTCCCCCCCGTGCCTGGGGGTCCCACAGGTCCCATCCATCTGCCCGGAGCCTCTGGGGCTCCATCAGTCGCTCCCAGGGACCTCACTGAGCCCATCACCCCTCTCGAGGCCTCTGGGCTTGGAAAGGGCAATGAAATTTGCCCTGGAAGGCAGCTGGAAGGCGGCTGACTTGGCTGGGGCCCACGCAGGTGCAGGCACAGAGGGTGTCAGGGGGAATGGTTGACCCCAGTCGCTCTCAGCCCCACGTGGGGACAGACAGACAGACACGGAAGAGCCTCCACCCCACGCACACCATCCCCAGGAAGGATGCACCGATCTCCGGGGCTCGCTGGGGATAGAGACACGCAGCCTCTCTCCAGCCCCAGGGCGCCCCAAAGACGTGGCTGGGGAAGGAGGAAGGTGACGGGGCCTGGGACGAGGGGTGGCAGCAGGTCTGTGCCCTCCCCAAGGGACCCGGAGCTCGTCCCCACTGGGGACATCTCAGCTGGTCCAGGACACAAGGTGCTGCGTGGGGGTGTCCCAGCTCCCGTCAATCAATTTCTTGCTCGTTATCTGAGGAGAAAAAAAAAAAAAAAGACTAAATAAAAATTAGCAGAGACATTAAAAAATAATTCACAGGTCAAAATTAATGAGTTAATTTGGTTGCCGGCAGCTCCGGGCTCTCCTTGTTCTGGAAAACTGGGATCCCCACTCCCAGGGCTGATGCTACCCACAGGCAAATACAGCCAGGCACACATAGGTGTGTTTTTATCCCTCCATTCATCCTCCTGGCTAGAAAACCCCCCACAGCCAGCGAACCGTGGGAGATGTTATTATTCAAGTTTTGTTTCTGCTGGAAAAGTGGTCGATGAGCACGCGGGAGATGTCTCGCACACGGGGTTAAGCAGACAGGCTGCTTTGGGGGTGAAAAGCCAAGGGGCTGGGAAGCCAAGTGTTGGCTGCGGTAGCTTGTGAAGGGGAGATAAGGGGAAGAAGGAAGGGGGGGAAAAAAAAAAAAAAAGAGAGGAAAAGCAGAGCCAGTTGATGCTTTGCTAAAGATGTGAAGGGGAAGGGAGAAAAGGTTTTTAAAAACCTATCAGGGTGGGGGGAAAAATGGCACTAGAGAAAAAACAGGGCTGTAAATAAAAGAGGGTGGGAGGGTTGAATTAGCAGTGATTCACCAGCAGCAAAGGCCAAGTCTCTGCCTTTAATAAGAAAGGAAATAAACTGAAAGATTGAGATCCTGGGAGGAGGATGAGTTGGGGAGGAATGGGGCTGACCAGGCATGGAAAGTGCTGGAGCCCATCACCCTGCCGTGATGAATGACGGGCTGGGAGCAGTCTGAAAGGCAGAAGAAAGGGCTGCCTTCTGAAAGGCAGAAACAGGAGCTGGGACTCTTAATTCGCATTCATTTCCACCAGAAATTTGGTACCACGGCTGCTGGTGAGGAATTCTGCATGGGGAGGGATGAAGCTCATGCCTCCCACTCCGCAAGGCGAGGACAGACCCCAGCAATTCCCCTCCTGTTAGCAAAGTGATGGCAACACTCAAAAAAAGACCTAAATTCCTCACAGTAACCTGGGTTGGTGGCACAAGGCTTTTCTCGGCCCTGAGCTGCTCAAGAAAACGAAGGATTAAGGGAAGAAATGCCACGTCAGACCTGTCGGTCACATCACTCCATTGCTGCTGGGAGATATGAGCAGCAGCCAGAGCAAGCACTGTCACAACTGGGGAGTGGAAATGGGTGCTGGAAAATAATTGATCTGGGAAAATTTGGTTGAAAACTGGAGGTGGGGGAGGAAATGAAAAAAACTGAAAAAATGTGGGGGGTTAAAAAAAAAAAAACAACAAACCCAAACCCAAACGATGGATGATGGTGATGCAATAGATGCTTTACACGTAAATCTGAGCATCATCTCCAGTGTGCTCAGGAAGAAACCTTCATCGTGAGCCAGCTCACGGTCCTACGCTGCTGCCTGGCAAACACACTCACCATCTTTGCTCTCCGCACTCTTCAGCGGCTGCAGAGCTGTGAAAAGAAAAAAACAGCACGGGGTCAGTCCCCACTGCCCAGGACGGGGGGCTCAAAAGGCAGTGCCTTCCCAGAGGAGGCAGCGAAGAGCCCCATTTTGGGGAACTGAGCCCAATAATTGCACCCGCTGATTTCCATCGCAAACCAACCCCTGGTCCCTAAATCTCCCCAGCAGCGAAGGAGTCGACACTCCAAGTGGGTTTGCTCCTGCGCCAGCAGATAAAGGCAATCACCGGGCATATAATTAACCTGTTTGGTGACAGCAGAGCACCACGAGTGCTTTTTTATTAAGAGATAGGGTGGCTTATCAGGGAGCTGCCAGCCTGAGGGGGTGGGTCGAAGAGCGGGCGAGCACGGGGGGAGCTGAGCACGAGTGGAGGGCGCAAAGCACGCCGGGGTGCTGGCTTGTGTAGGGGCCAGTGTCACGAGCACACGCACGCCGTGATGAACTCACGTATCTAAAAAGCAAGAATCATGCACCCACCTGTCTTGGGTTCTTCCCCTTCCTCGTCCCGCTCCTCCGTCCCTGCAAAAGAGCAAGCCAGAGTGTGTTGAAGCATCTGCTGGGCTTCACCCCAGCGCCCACCCCGAGCCCCACCTCCCCGGGCAGCCTTTTGGATCGCCACCGTGGCGCGGAGCCACCCATGGTCACCTCATATCCCACCCTCTGCTCGGGACCGGGCGCTGCCGAGCCACTGGTGATGCTCGGGGAGGAGGTGACTGGTACCCCCCCCTGCACCCCGCGGTGGGTATTTCCCCCAGCAGAAGGCTGTGCCTGGGGGTGGCACATCCCTTACCAGCAAAGCAGGAAAAGCCACAGCTCCGGGCGACGCGGCGCAGCCGCTCGCCTCCCTGTTTATAGCACAGCTGCCTTCTGGAGCAGCGCTCGGCGAGGGGCGTAGCGGGGAGACCACGGATCCCTCAGCACCTCTGGGACACCCCATCGGCACCGAGGGATGAGCATCCCCTTCTCCCTCCCACAGCACCCCCCCAGGATGCCACCCTGTCCTGGAGCCCATGAGCAAGACCTGCCATGATGCTTTTCCTGGCTAGAAAGACCAGCAAAAATTCCTGCTCCGGCCTCACGTGGCTGCCAGGCTCACGGGCAGGGTCCCTGCCTGGTTTCTGGCTACCAAAAGCCACAGCAAAAGGTTATTTCTAAGGGCGTGCAGCCATCGGTGCAAAACATCACGGGCTGGGAGCTGTGTCCTGATGCTGGTCTGAGGTCAGCTGGCCCGGGGCCATGGCACTGCAAATCCCCTGACTGAGTAGAAAATACTCTGTTACAGAGGGGAAAAAAGATTAGTTTTGAATTTTTTTATATAGATATATGATTCCCTGGGATCTGCTGGGGGAAACCCTCTCGGTCCCCACCGCTGGGGCACCCGACAGGCAGGCATCGTGGCGGCATCGGCACCGACGTCCCTCCCGGCAGAGAGAGGAGGAGCGGAGCGGGAGCCCCTGGGGAGGGAGGCTGCGGGTCCCAGCCCCGCAGCACGATGCTGGCAGGGAAAAGCTTTGGCAGAGCAAGTGCCTCGGGAGTCACTGAGAGAAAACAAGCAGGGAACACCAGCAAAGCTGCTTCTGCAGCCATTTTTGGAGCACAGCAGCTTTTCTAAAGCAACGAAGCCGCCCTTTTTCTGCAAATACCTCTCCATAATTAAAAAACAAAATCAAAAAAAAACCAAAACAAAACAAAACAACAAAAAACTGAAACACCAAACAGAAGAAGGATGCAGAAAACAAGAGCACAAAGCATCTCTCTCATGCTATTTCTGCAGGTCAAAGCACCTGGCATTTCCACAGTGGCAAGTGCTAGAGGCTCCTTTTTGGAGATGCTCTACACATACCCGGCTGTGGGTACCAGCCATGCAGAGGATGCTCGCAGCAGGAAGGTGAAAGGCAGAGACATGCTGGGTGGCAGGAAAACCAGGTGTATGCTTGAAAGAGCTGCCTGGAGCGATGCACACAGCCAGCATGGGCTCTCCAGCACAGATCTGCTGGTGCCCAGCAGCTCGGAGCATCCCTTCATCCTTTAAAAGATGCCACCACCAAGGCAAACCCGTGACGGTTAAAATTTGCCCCGGCTCCCCCCCATCCATCACCCTCCATCCGTCACCCACTGCAAAGCCCATCCCTTTTAGCAGGGGCTACCCGCCCCATTACCTGCGTTTTCCTCCTCTTCCTCCCTGCTCTGGCGGATTTTCTTCTGGCACACGTACACCAGGACGACGAGCAGCCCCACGACGCAGACGGCAAGTCCCACCGTCAGCCAGAGAGCCACAGCGGGGAAGGCGAGGTGTTGGCCTTGCAGGGGGAGGAAAGAGAAATGCCACCACGGTGAGCATCGCTGCCCGAGCAGGGGGACGCGTCCAGGACCCCGCAGTGGCAGGGGCACGTCCCCATGGAGGGAGTCGGTGACACAAGAGGTGGCTTTGGAAGTAAAACCACCCGGTGCCTCTAATTATGGCCTCCCCCCAGCAGGTCTGGATCCGGCTGGGGAAGCAGCAGGTCGAGTCACTCCCTAAAATACTTTGTTAACCTTTAAATAATTGCACTAATAAATTCAAATGGCAGCCCGACCCTTCACTTGCTAAGAAGCTCAAAAGAAGCATTAGATGATGTTGCACCCGCTCCCTTTCCCCTCTCATCTCACTCCATGGGGCCGGGAAGGATGGGGACACCTTCCCCAGGGTCCGGGATGGCCTGGCAGGGACCACCAGGGCGTGGGGTCCCCGAGCACTGGGAATATGAGTTTTCCCCATACTATTGCTCCTTCCTCAAATAAAGGCTTGCCCCAAATCCTGCCCCTCCCCAGATGTCACCCCCAGGCTGACCGTTTCCTCATGTGCTTGGGGGTCCCTGCCAAAGCCACCCCTCTGTCCCCAACCAGCAGCATCCACATGAGTTTTCCTGCAAGAGTTCGATGCATCCAGCCAAAAAGTTTATGCTCCACCAGGGACCCACCTTCCCAACCCAGCAAGTGCTGTATCAAGGGTAATTAAACACTAATCAACGCTACCGGGGAGCACACAAGGTTGGAAAGAGCTACGGGAGGGCAGCGGGAGGAGCGCGGAGCAGAGCGGCGAGGCTGAACGTGCTTGATGAACTCCTCCAGCTTGTATTTCTGATGTAGAATTGCTCCAGGTGGGATGGAGGACTCCAAATCCAGAGCATCCCACGGCCACGTGCTAAGGAGAAGACAACTACCACGCGCTCTGACGGCTTTCTGGGGTGGTTTAGACTGGGACAGGGCAACTAGCAAAGCTAGAGACTAAGAACTAAGGACGCCGATTCTATCTGGGAAGCTGGCGTGGGGCGACAGGGGAGGACAGCACAGCCTCAAGTCACCCCTGGAGGTCCGTGGGGAGAGAGGTAGAGCGGAGATGTAGGCTAGCAACCCCCAGGGTGGCTCTGTGCCACAGCAGGGATCCCAGTGCCACCACGGTCACCTTCTTTAGACTGTCCCACGGGGTTAAAAATGGCCAGCTAAACTTATTTATGTAAGCAAAAGAAAAACTTCATCATAACTGATGTGGTGTGATTAGGCCAAAGGACATTAATCAGGACATCTACTACACAGTATAAATGCTATAGCTATTATTTATTATAATTATCATTCACCAAATCAGTAGTTCAAAGCTAGCTTGGTAAGTAATTATTTTATAGAGATTGATGCTACTCACCCACGTTGACGCCTGCGGGTAGCTCTCGCTCAGCCTCGAGGGGTAACCTTGAGGGGTGTCCCCGCTCAAGGGAGGAGTATCCAAACACACTCCACAGGGACGGGGTGTGCTAGAATCCCTCCTGTTCAAAAGGGGGACTAGGCTTTTGTAGTATAAAGTGATTGACTGACAGTCATTCGTTGCTTCTAGCTCAGCAAAATACTGTTTATCTGTATTTTTTTTTCCCCCTCTTTCCAGGAACATCTGGTGTCACAGCTTGCCCCATAACAATTATTCTTGAGGTTGCTGACTCAAGCTAATCCTCAGTGTCCTTCAACACTAAGGACCGCATGACTTGTCATCACATCTGGTAGTTTTCCACCAGAAGGCCCATACGAGTGGGGTGAAGTTTGAGACGATGTTCTTACTCCTCCCCCACTTAGTCAGAGCGCCTTACCACACAGACAGCCCGTCCCTTCCTTCCCCCAATTTTGGCCCTCACTGGCTCACCCGTGATGGTGACGGAGGCTTGGGTCTCCTGCTGCAGCACCGGGTTTCGCACCAAGCAGGAGTAGGTGCTGCTGGGCTCCACCAGCACCTGGAGGACACTGTGCACATCGAAGAGACCCTCCTCGTTGGCCACCTGGGACGTGGTGACGTTCTCCGTGATGTTGCTGCCCCGGCTGTCCTGCCAGAGGACGCTGGCCTCGGGGTAGCCACGGGAAGCGTGGCAAGTCACAGCCGCCAGATCTCCTGGCTTCAAGTCCTTGTTGGGCTCCAGGTTCATACTGGGCTTGGAGTAGGGAGCTGCAAGGGAGAGAACAGCCGGCATGAGGCAACGGAGAAGAACAAAGGATCAAGATTGGGAGCAACCCAAAGAGGTCGGGCAAGCCCCAGAAGAGACTCTTCCAGCTGATAAGACCAACCAGCTGAAGCCTCCCCAGCTTTGATTCATTTATGGCCATGCTTCTGGGTGGCCTCTCAGCTGAGAGCCTCTCCATCGTGACAGGGAAGGGACTGCACCCCCCCCACCAGCAATATTTTGGGGAGATACAGTTGGTGAGTCGCTAACAGAGAGCTGAATTCTTGGGGAGACCACAGCAAGGATGGAGAGAGAAAGAGGCTCCGTGAAGGACCAAAACATGATGGAGAATCCTCCTTTTTGGGGGATACACGCCAGAGCACCCCAACTCTCCATCTCTCACCTGCCACCTGCAACGTCACGGCCGCGCTGCTGTAGTCCCGGACCCGGACGAAGCAGGTGAAGCTGCCCTCGTCCGAGATCTCCACGCGCCGGAGGAGCAGCGAGACGTTGCCCTGGGCCAGCTGGTCGTAGAAGAGGGCCGTACGGTTGGCGTAGCCCCCGCCCTGGTCTGCCAGCTGGTCCTGGCCACCAGAAAAGCTGTGGACCAAGCGCTTGGTGTCCGTCAGCTGCCAGATGAGGCTCAGGTCATCGAGGCTGAAGTTGGCTTCGGGGGAGAAGGAGCAGCGCAGGGTGGCATCTCGGCCAAAAAGAGCCACCACGGGCTCATCGGGGACCTGGATCTCCATGGCACCTGCAGGAGGGTGGCAAGGGCAAAAGCACATGACGGTGAGATGCTGCAGAAGCACCTCCTTAATTCTCCATCTGGGTAACACTGAAGCAAATCGAGGGATGCCCATGGGAGGGGGCATCTCAGGACCCTCCCCAGCACCGACCGCCAGCCAAGCCCACCCTGCCAGCAGGGTGACAGCCCCAAATATGGGGCATCGCTGCCCTCAGCTGCCAGCTGCAGCCGCAGGCACCCAAACCTGCCACCACCCCCCCACACACCCAGGACACGCAGTCGGGTTTCTCCCCACGGGGGAGAAGAGGTCGGTGGGTGACGGCAGCAGGGACATGCAGACCCGTGTCCCCAGGGCGAGCCAGCTCCGTGGCCGGGCTGGCAGGCGCTAGATGGCACCAGTGCTCCAGCGCGATGCCAACTGGTGCGCCACGGCACCGCGCCAACCCCGTCCCTGTGCCACGGTGGGATGCCAACCCCGTCCCTGTGCCACGGCACCGGGCCAACCCCGCCGCTGCCTCAGGGAGCAACGCCAACCGTGCCAAGGCTGCCGGGCCCCCCCCACTCGGAGCTGGGGTCCCGGGGCACCCGTTGGCAGCGAGCAGCAACGTCCCCCCCAAAACAGACCCAGGGCACCATCAGCGCTTCATTCCCCGATTCTCTCCCCCCCCCCCCCAACTTCAAAACGGGGAGGAAAAGGGGAAAAATCTCGCCTCAGAGCAAGGCTTTGCTTTACAGTCTGACCTCAACACCGTTGCAGAACACAGCAAAGCTGTTAACCGCAGCAAATACTTCCCTGGGGACGAGGGCAGCAATGAGACATTAAATTTTAAGCAAGAGCCTGAGCGGGGAGGATGAGGAGCTGCGGGAAGGAGCCAGGCTGGAGGAGACCTGCCAGGGGCCACAGACGGGCAGACAGGCAGGAGAGGAGCGCTCGGGCAGCCTGCCTGGCTCTAGGCAGACTCAAGAGCGTCACATCTCCCTCCAGCTAATAATAAATAAACGCCAGCAGGTTTTAGGAACATTACCCAGCCTGGCCAGAACTGCTGCTGAGCATCCCCAAAGGATTCAGTCCTGACATCTCTTCCAGGTTGAGGGGGGGCCAGGAGCTGAAGGGCACGGGGACCCACTTGGGTAAGTCAGAAACCTTCAGGATTTAGTCCTCCCGTGGCTTCGCCATTCATGGTGCCCAGAAGCCATCACACCCACGGGGTGACGCCCCGGGCAGCTGGAAGAACACGAAACCGGGAGAAACGCTGCCCCCAGGAACCACCGGTCAAAGGCAGCTTTGTCGGGATGAACGTGGCATCCAGGACATTCCCGTTGGGGTGGTGACACACAGACCACACCAAGCCCAAACGCCCCCCCCAGCCCCGCTCACCTACGAGGCTGAGCGCCAGGGCAAGCAGCAGGCAGAGCATCCCTGGTGCGAGCAAAGGTCGGGGAAGAAAGCAGAAGCGAGCACGGCCCCGGGTGTCCTTCTCACAGGGAGTCTTCTCTCTCACAACAAGTACCCTGAGCTGGGGAAAAATAGAAGAAAACCCTAAGATGGTGCTGGGAACCAGGGGCAGAGAGCAGGAGAGGGCATGTATCTCAGGATCCCATGCCAGCCACCCCCTCCGGCTGCCACGCGGCACCCAGAGCACCCACCCCGTCCTAAAACGCAGGAGGGGCTTTGCCTCCAGCCTGGGACTGGCCAAGGGACCGGTGCATCCCCTGCATCAGGGACATGACAGACCCAGAGGCAGCACTTACGCCGGAGGCGCTGGCTGGTGCCCGGAGAAGCCACGTGAGGCTCTTCCCCTCCTCACTGCTTCTCCTCCCCTTTTGTTTCTCTCTTTCCCAGCTTTTCCCTGCAGCGCTGGGCTGTTACATCCCTGTCCTCCAAGAGGAGGCAACTCGCTCCTGCTGTCCAAAATGGCTAAAAAACAAACAAAAGAGATTTGTAGATTCCTGGCTCTGCCAGCAGCTCGAGGGCTGCGAGGTTCGTCCCCCCTTCACCACAGGAAAGCCTCCAGCACGAGGTCGCTGGATGAAAAATGGGGAATGAAACCGAAGCATCTCAGAGCTGGATGTGGGGAGAGGCGAGGGCAAGCTGCCCGGCACTGCTGGCTACCGTGGCTCGCTTCCCGAGCATCCCTCCCCAGCCGTGCCACGAGCTCGCCAGGCCCCTCGTGACCCGCGTTCCTCCCTCAGAACATAAATGAGCCCCAGATACTGCCGCCGCTGCCGTGTCCTGTCCCTGTCCCAGCACATCCCAGAGCCCCGCTGTCCCACCCAGAGCCCTTAGCGCCGACGGGTTTCAGTGCAATACTCTTATTGGCAATAAATCCGTGTCGTGGCACCCGTTCCCCAGGGTGCAGCGGGAACAACTTTGGCTGTCAGTGCCTTCCTCCTTAAACCCCCTGTCATCGGGGAAATGGCAGTGCCGAAGCTCAGCTCCCACGGGACAAACTAAGGCATGAGGTGAGGGGGGAAACTGAGGCACAGCTCTGCCCCAGGAGCTCTGGGGGACCATCCCTTCTCCTTCCCTCTTGAGCACGAGGCTCCTTTGGGGAAAACAAATTATCCAGCTTTTTTTCTTAAACCCTATCCCTGACTCTCACCTTTTCCCAAGCGGACGAGCCCGGGAGCCAGCCCCGTGACAAACCCCCAGGCAGCCGGGAAGGGAAGGAGCCGGGGTGGGAGAAGGTGACGGGGCATCACTCAGCTGCCCGGGCAAGGGAAGCCGTGACTCACCTCCCTCATGCTCGCCCTTGGAGCTCTTTCCTTTTCCTGGTGATGCTAAAGTAAACTCTATTTTATAGGTTTCATGACCTATGAGTCCTGCTGGACCATCTCAGAGATGTCACAGGAAGGGACACCCGGGTCCCCAACCCTCCTTCTGCAGGCAGAAGTCCTTCGGTGGGTCTCTCGCCTTTCCGTGCCTCAGTTTCCCCATCCCTGCAGCGTGAGCCCCAGACGAAGGATGGGCTCTGCCCCAGACCTGAGCTTTCATCACAAGTGGGATATAACAAACCCCACCAACCCTTGGAAGAAAGACGCGCTCACGCACAGCAAGCCAGGATGGCTGAATCCTCCATAAACCCAATAAATTATTAAATCCACTGTTGCAGCAGGACCCCAGGGACCTTACGTCACCCGTTCCCCATTTAATATTTACTATCACACAGCCAAAACGCTGCTTTTTTTACAATACCCAGATTCTCAGCCGCCAAATTATCACCCTGAGATGGCTGGAGGTGTAAAGAAAACATCCGCTGGCCCAGGGAGAAGAAGTCCTCACCCACAGGTCTGGGTCGGTCCCAGGTTTTGTGGGTGCCTGGGCTGAGCCCCCCACTTTGCTCCTCTCCTACCTGAGGTTTGTGCCGACGATGAGCCCGGCTCTACTCTAGATTATTTTTAGTCCCCACTTAACTTCTTGGTGCGCAGCAGAAGCTCCCCACTTGCAAGGGAGGCCTTTATGGAGACGGGGGCCAGAGCAAAGGAGGAGCGGGAAAATGGGGTGCGACCCCCCCGAAATCGCAGGTGGGGATTTGGGGTGACTTGCCACCCCTCCTTTGATATTTGGCGGCGGAAAGGCTGGGATGGGCTGTCCCGCTCATCCCGGGAGAAGGGGGGACAATCACTTCCACTCGGAGCTGGTGGGTTTTTTGTCCCACGCGCGGGGTGGGGGGTTTAGCTCTATACATTAAATACGGCATTTTAAACCGGGTGGATGCCGCCGTCCCTGCGTCACCACGGGAAACGGCGGGGACCCCGCCTGCCCCCCCACCCCCACCCCACCGAGCCCCCCGCTCCCCGCAGCAGCACGAGGAGGGGCTCCCCGAGCCGCCCCCCCCCCCCCCCCCGGCGGCTCCACGGCTCGGAGCCTCATTCATTTCGCCCTCCCGGAACAACGCCCGCGATTCCCAGCCCCGTCCCGCGGGAGGGGGAACGGGAGCGGCGGCTCCTCCCACCGGGAGCTGCAACACCCCCACACCCCACCCCACCCCCCCCATTTACCACCTCCCGGGAGCCCCCGTTCCCCGCCGCGACCCCACCCCCCCCCACCCCGCCGGGCACTTACCGGGAAGGCGGCGCGGGACGGGCGGGAACGCGCGCGCCGCCGCGGGCGGGCCGGTCCCGGGGCGGCGGCCCCGGCCCCTGATTGGCTGCGGCCGCTTCCTGCCGGGGTCCCGGGGGGGGGGAGGGGGGGAGGGAGGAAGAGGAGGAGGAGGAGCAGGAGGTGGAGCAGCAGCCCCGGCGGGGAGAGGCGGGATTGGGGTGCACAGGGCGGGAGAGTTGGGGAGCACCAAGTCACAGGATTGAGTTGAATGGGTCCAAGGGATTGGGGCGCACAGTGCTGGGGAGTTGGAGATCACTGAGTCATAGGATTAGGGTGCACTGAGCCAGGGGATTGGGGTGCACGGGGCTGGAGAGTTGGGGAGCACCGAGTCACAGGATTGGGGTGAATGGGATTGAGGGATTGGGGTGCACAGCGCTGGGGAGTTGGGGATCACTGAGTCATAGGATTAGGGTGCACTGAGCCAGGGGATTGGGGTGCACGGGGCTGGAGAGTTGGGGAGCACCGAGTCACAGGATTGGGGTGAATGGGATTGAGGAGCACTGAGCCAGGGGATTGGGGTGCACAGGGCTGGAGAGTTGGGGAGCACCGAGTCACAGGATTGAGTTGAATGGGCCCAGGGGATTGGGGTGCACGGGGCTGGAGAGTTGGGGAGCACCGAGTCACAGGCTTGGGGTGAATGGGTCCAAGGGATTGGGGAGCCCTGAACCAGGGGATTGGGGTGCACAGTGCTGGAGAGTTGGGGGGCACCAAGTCACAGGATTGGGGTGAATGGGATTGAGGGATTGGGGAGCACTGAGCCAGGGGATTGGGGTGCACAGGGCTGGAGAGTTGGGGAGCACCGAGTCACAGGATTGAGTTGAATGGGCCCAGGGGATTGGGGTGCACGGGGCTGGAGAGTTGGGGAGCACCGAGTCACAGGCTTGGGGTGAATGGGTCCAAGGGATTGGGGAGCCCTGAACCAGGGGATTGGGGTGCACAGTGCTGGAGAGTTGGGGAGCACCAAGTCACAGGATTGGGGTGAATGGGATTGAGGGATTGGGGAGCACTGAGCCAGGGGATTGGGGTGCACAGTGCTGGAGAGTTGGGGAGCACCGAGTCACAGGATTGAGGCGAATAGGTCCAAGGGATTGGGGTGCACGGCGCTGGGGAGTTGGGGAGCACTGAGTCATAGGATTAGGGTGCACTGAGCCAGGGGATTGGGGTGCACGGGGCTGGAGAGTTGGGGAGCACCAATTCACAGGCTTGGGGTGAATGGGGTCGAGGAATTGGGGAGCCCCGAACCAGGGGATTGGGGTGCACAGTGCTGGAGAGTTGGGGAGCACCAAGTCACAGGATTGGGGTGAATGGGATTGAGGGATTGGGGAGCACTGAGCCAGGGGATTGGGGTGCACAGGGCTGGAGAGTTGGGGAGCACTGAGTCACAGGATTGAGGCGAATGGGTCCAAGGGATTGGGGTGCACGGCGCTGGGGAGTTGGGGAGCACTGAGTCATAGGATTAGGGTGCACTGAGCCAGGGGATTGGGGTGCACGGGGCTGGAGAGTTGGGGAGCACCAAGTCACAGGATTGGGGTGAATGGGATTGAGGGATTGGGGAGCACTGAGCCAGGGGATTGGGGTGCACAGGGATGGAGAGTTGGGGAGCACCGAGTCACAGGATTGAATTGAATGGGCCCAAGGGATTGGGGTGCACAGCGCTGGGGAGTTGGGGATCACTGAGTCATAGGATTAGGGTGCACTGAGCCAGGGGATTGGGGTGCACGGGGCTGGAGAGTTGGGGAGCACCAATTCACAGGCTTGGGGTGAATGGGGTCGAGGAATTGGGGAGCCCCGAACCAGGGGATTGGGGTGCACAGTGCTGGAGAGTTGGGGAGCACCAAGTCACAGGATTGGGGTGAATGGGATTGAGGGATTGGGGAGCACTGAGCCAGGGGATTGGGGTGCACGGGGCTGGAGAGTTGGGGAGCACCAAGTCACAAGATTGAGGCGAATGGGTCCAAGGGATTGGGGTGCACGGCGCTGGGGAGTTGGGGATCACTGAGTCATAGGATTAGGGTGCACTGAGCCAGGGGATTGGGGTGCACCGGGCTGGGGAGGTGGGGAACACTGACCCACGGGATTGGGGAGCCCTGAGCTAGGGAATTGGGGTGCTCACTGACTCTTGGGACTGGTATTCACAGAGCCAGGGGGTTGGGGTGTATGGAGCCGAGGGATTGGGGCACACAGGGCTGGGGAGTTGGGAACACCAAGCCAGAGGGATCAGGGTCCATGTAGCCAAGGGATTGGGGTGCACACAATCAGGGGATTGGGATGCATGGAACTGGGGCATTAGGGTGCGCAGAGCCAAGGAATTGGCGTGCACAGAGCCAGGGATTGTGGAACACGAAGCCAAAGGGGTTGGGGTGCACACCAAGCCTCAGGACTAGTGTTCACAGAGCCGGGGAACTGGGGTACACAGAGCTGGGGTGTGAAGCCCTCAAAGCTGGGAGGTGCAGACTCAGGGAATTGGGGTGCACAGAGCCAGGAGAGTGGGGTGCACGGAGACAGGGATTTCGGAGACCTCAAAGCAGGGGGACTGGGTGCACAGAGCCAAGGGATTGGAGCACTTGCACCTGAGGGCCTTGGGGTGCACAGAGCTGGGGCTTTGGAGTCCTCAAATTTGGGGGACTGGGGTGCACTAAGCAAGGCTGTGGTGAGGCGGGAGGGCTGAGCCATCTCCTCTGGAGAGAACAAAAGGCAGCTGGAGTTTCCCTAAGGGAGACACAGGCCACTCCCTGGGGAAAAAACCTGGCAACTGATTTACCCACACCCACTGCCTGGAGGTATCTGCAACCCCACGCTGTGCTCAGTGGCAAATTCAGCTGGGGGCTAGAGGGGAACCCCCAAATAGTACTGGAAAGGGACACCCAGGATGGTCTACCGTCTAGAAGAGCAAGACCTCAGACACACGAGGCATTGAGGCAGCCTCCCTCCTCCATCAACCACCCACAGGGATCACAGTTGCCTTGGAAAACCCATCTCACTGCATTTTGGAGTTCACTTTTCTGGGGATGCAGCCCAGCTGGGTCACTTTTAGCCGGGGCAGGGCACTGATCTTCCTCCCACGCTCCCACATGCACAATGTCTGCTTTTATAGAGCCTCGGGCAGGCAGGCACCCAGCCCCGCTCCCCGACACGCACGGGGACTGAGACCGGGGCAAGGAGCAGGGCAGGAAGGGATGAAGAAGAGGAGGAAAAGCCAGGCTCTTTGCAAGGGTGACTTTTCAGCAGCATACACACACAGCCCCCAGATGTTTCCCCAAAGGAAGCAGCTTATCTTTAACCTGTTTTTCGGAGAGGGCTGTGTCCCAGAGGCTCCTGTGGCTGGAAGCTCTGCCCCAGAGCCCACGGGGGAGGTTTGGATCTTTCATTGCTCCAGAACAAAGGAAGCTCCTCACCCTTTTGATTACAGAGGAAAGCTAAAACAACCAAACCTGGACAGCTTAAAATTAAAAGGCAAATAAAAATAACCTGAAACATGCTATATTTAAATCCATTTGATTTTTTTTTCCTCCCTTGCAGGCAAAGAAAGATGTTTGCAGCGACAGAGCTGGTAATAAGGCCGCATGCCTTGACCCAGGCACCCCAGCAAGAAAAGAAATTATGAAGTCAACATACTTCAAAAAGCCTGCAACTAAATTGGGAGCCCTGTGCTCAATTTACAGATGTGCCCTGCAAGTCAAGAGGATTTCTCTTTCCATGCCCAGCCGGGTGTGGGCAGTGCTGGACACTCAGAGCACCTGCGTGATCCCAGTCTGTGCTGGCTCTGGCTACAGAACTCCTGCAGACCAGACATGAGCCCTGTCAACTCTGTTGGCACATCATCCCTGTCCTTTTTGGGGGGGGCTGATGGAGAAGACCCAGCCATCAACCCCCCGATGCTGCAGCAGGGAGATGGGGGTGGGTTGCAGGGACCTTCTGCAGGAGATGTTTCCCTCTCCCAGGAGCAGTAGGTCTGTGGGTACCTCCAGCATCAAAGCTCAGCAACCCAAAACAGCAGGTGGAACCCACAGGTTTCACAAAGACAAAGACACACACACACACACACCCCCTCCCCACAAATGACACACAAACTCCCAGCACTGCCCAGGGCAGGGCTTCACACCATCACAGCTTCATCACTTTGTCCCTTCTCCCAACAGTTCACATCATAAAAGCAGCATCAGGGCTTTGATATCTTAACTGCAAGTGCAACTGCGCTCCTGTTGGTCTTTGAAGATACAAAGTGAGCATCTGAGCAGCAGGAGCTTTCTTAGTGTTAAATAGAAACACACACACAAAAAAAAAAAAAAAAAAAGTAAAAACTAAAGAGCTTTGGAACAAAGGCAGATTTTTCAACATCATCACTAGCTAAAAATTAAAATCTATGCTGTTTGCAAGTCTGCTCATAATTAACAATAAAAGGGCTTCCAGGAAGGAAATCAAATCGTTGATGCTCTCCATCCCAAATGATTATTTTTGGCTAATTTTCCTTCCTTACACCCTGCAGTATCCAAGGTATGTGCATAAGAAATGTGCATAATAATGACCAAAAAAAATATAGAAAGGCAAAAGGCTGCAATTTGCAGGTTTAATTTCATGCTCAGCCAGAATCTGATCAAGGGGAGGAGGGATAGCTGGAGAGGATGGATGGAGGTGCTGGGGCAAATCCAGAGTCTCCCAACAAGGTGGCTGGAGCACGCAGGTCAACTCTGCACATCCCAGTGAGGCTGGTGTGGCTGCTTCTCCTTCCCATCAACAGCACGGAAATACTGCACAGCACCAGCAGTTTCCAACTGCTAACAATGTAGGAATCAAATATGTGATGGCCAGGAGGATCTTCTGGTAATTCCTTCCAGCACAGGGCATTTGGCACACATCTTCATGATCAAATTCAGTACAAGGCAGGGGGTGGAGGGTAAATCCCACCTTGGCTACATGAAGATCTCCATTCCCAAAAAGCTGCCAAAATCATCCATTTTGGAGCACTTTGGAACTTAACAGCAGCTGGATCCACATGGTGGCAA